TTAAAGATGGTGGTGACTTTTTGACTAAGGGATTGACGACGTTGTTCACAAAGGTTTTGGAACTAGAGAGTGTGCCAACGTCATGGAATGAGTCGATAGTTGTCCCTATCTTTAAAAAGGGTTCACGTCGTTCCTGTAACAACTATCGTGGGATAAGTCTACTTCCGATTGCGTCCAAGCTATTGGCTTCCGTCATACTTCGTAGGTTGTTCAAAACCCGAGAAAGATTGACTCGCGAGGAGCAGGCTGGTTTTCGTTCTGGTCGAGGATGTATTGATCATATCTTCACCCTCCGCCAAATGTTAGAACACCGCCATACTTTTCAAAGGCCAACAATCGTAGTGTTTCTTGACATCAGGGCTGCCTTCGATTCGTTGGATAGGACTGTTCTCTGGGATTGTCTATTGAAGAAGGGTGTGCCTGAGAAGTTTATTAACATCCTAAAAGCCCTATATAAAAACACCTCAGGCAGAGTGAGGGCATACAACCACCTTTTTCCATTGTTCCATTCGAGTAGTGGGGTTAGGCAGGGTTGCCCAATCTCACCATTCCTCTTCAACTTTGTCATCGATGGCATTCTGGAAACAGCTCTGATGAATGTAAGTAATGGTGGTGTGGATCTGTTGCCCAGAGAAAGACTTCTCGACCTTGAGTATGCGGACGATATTGTCTTACTGTGCGATAATGCCCAAGGCATGCAATCCGCACTTAATCAGTTGGCAATCAGTGTCCGTAGGTACGGTATGTGCTTTGCACCTTCGAAGTGCAAAGTACTCCTACAAGACTGGCAGGATTCCAATCCTGTACTCACCCTGGATGGTGAACAGATAGACGTAGTCGAGAAGTTTGTGTATCTGGGTAGCTGTATAAGTGCTGGTGGGGGTGTGAGTGATGAGATCAATGCACGAATAGTGAAAGCCAGAGCGGCTTATGCCAATCTGGGCCATCTATGGCGCCTTCGTGATGTTAGTCTGGCCGTAAAAGGTCGGATCTACAACGCGTCGGTGAGAGCAGTTTTGCTCTATGCTTGTGAAACCTGGCCTCTCCGAGTTGAGGACGTTAGACGACTCTCTGTGTTCGATCATCGCTGTCTCCGAAGGATTGCTGACATTCAGTGGCAACACCATGTCAGTAATGCAGAGGTTCGGCATCGTGTTTTCGGGCACAGAGACGATAATGCAATTGGTGTCACCATCTTGAAACACCGACTTCGGTGGCTTGGACATGTTCTCCGAATGTCGTCCCAGAGAATTCCACGTCGTGCATTATTTGCCGACTCTGGGACTGGTTGGAAGAAGCGGAGAGGTGGTCAGTGCATGACATGGTGTCGTGGCATGAAAGAAAGCTGCAAAGGACTGGCGTGTGTTGGTTCTTCACGACTCCCTGGTTGGGGTCTGAGAGATGGTGCTACACAGTGGCTAGAGACGTTATCAGATATGGCTCAGAATAGAAGCCAGTGGGGATCCTGCTGTAACCTTCTTTTACTTTCTTCATAAAAAGTGGTTCTGTCTCCCTTACCTGAAAGATTTCTTCCGATTGTACCTTTGCGTTCCCTGATTACTAGCACATTACCTTACACCAATCTCTTCGTTATTGTTCTCTCTTTTTTTTTGTTGCGCTCCTTAGCTTTTTTTTTCTTTGTATTCCTCTCGAATTTTCATTGTTTTGTGTGGCGCATATATATTGGCGCTCCCCTGTACCAATATTCATGTGTAATAAATGTCAAAAAAAAATGTCATGTTAAACACAAATATACTTAAGACTGGACGTTATCGTTTAAATGCTCTACAGCCACCCTTCAGTTCCTTACTTTTACCAAGCGAGTTGTAAGGAAATTCAACACAAGCCTTCCAAACCCTTAATGGCGTTGAGTCAGAGTTTATGACGAACTATCAACCTTAATTCAAGTTTGTCTAATAACTGCACTTTTACCGAACGTATTTAAAGATCGCTTCGAAAAGCAACATTCTCGTTTCAAGGACTGATTTCCCAGGTTTACTTGTTGAATTAGAATACGCAGGTGATATAGTCCTGTTTGATTAATACGCCATGTTGCACTATTTTGATTACCTTGAGCAATATTTTTATCGCTCTAAATGTAAAATGTTACTTCAGTTGCTGTTTATCTAAATTCTCGAACTAGTGATAAGAAGTACACTAGTCGATTTTGGAAGTTTAATCAAACCAGATGAGTCGGCGTGACGAGATTTCGTCATGGATTCAGAAAAATTCGATCTGCCTTTTTCTTAATTTACATCACTTGTGTAGTAGAGATATACTTCTGTCGACGTAAGAGTATACCGAGGAGCACCCTATTTTGAATTATTCCACGAGTTTCGAAAGTACAAGACGTGTAGGCTGAATTACTTGAATGTTGTGGAACGACAAAGTGAGGTTAGGCAGAAGGTAATAGGTAGGTATGACATTGGTTGGTGAGGTCGTGAATCACTATTGACTGACGTGGTTAGGATGTACTATACGTACCTAACTACTTCCACAGGTGGTGTTTGTTCGTGCAGTGATGGCTTAGAATAAGGTTAAGTGCGGCCCCTAAATGCCCTAACATGGCGACGCGTATACACCTCTGCCAGGGAAGTCCTACTCACTACCTTCTCGCAGTGTGTGTTATTTACGAAAGTGAGAGGACGAAAAGCGAATGGCTGGCGCTTTACCCGGGCTGGTGGGTATGGAGTATCCACCTAGGTGAGTTGGAAAACCCTAATTCCAAACCCATGGTGCACATAGGCAATGTGAAATGATGCATATTTGTGCCAAGTTTCACGTTGCGCAAGATCGACAAACTTCGAAAATGTGGAGAGGTATACAGATTACTTTTCCAGATTATAGGAGATACGGAAGCAGTTTTAATAGCTAATATTTTAGGTATACAAAGTAAGGAATAGACGTTATCTGGTTTGAGCGTATAAAATTTTTTCCCTTCATCTGTTTATGTAATTTCCTATGGAGCTCTTTCCGATATTAGAAACCTTGTCATATGAACAAAGCAACAAAAGATTTTTGTTTCGGTTTGAAGAACCTACACAAGTAGGGTCCAGATGTCTTTATTGTGCGTTATTCTGGACTGTAGGAAGGGCTTCCGATAGTAAGATGGGTCTGTTGTGAGGTAGTAACTCACTAAAGACAATGGTGGACGGTGGCTCATTTTCGTGGATTAGTTGAAGTTAGACATTAACACGGTTGGATACGGGCTTAGTGGTTTAGAGGTTAGGCGTTCGCGCGCGAGACTGATAGGTCCTGGGTTCGAATCTTCCGGGGCGGATTCGTGGATGTGCACTGTTGAGGAGTCCTATACTATGACGAAACGGCCGTTCAGTGCTTCCAGGTTTTCCATGGAAGTCTAGCTTCAATTGATTAGTGAATTCAACAACAAAATTAGGAAAAAAAGAGCCATGTTCATTCGCCTACTTCTGGTCAAACATGTTTTTATTCTAACCCGAATTCTCCCCCCCCATCTTCCCGATTACTACTTATACTCTTATTACCTCTATCACTACGGGATTTGAATCGACAAGTGCATCTCTGTGCTAATGTGGTGTGGCAACTCGAACTGATGTACGTACGTACGAAGTTCTACGTTGTTACTGACTGACTGACTGACTTCGATTTAGTCTTACCCTAGCATAAACTCATTTTATTTAGTAACTAATCGATGATATAGTACTGTTTCGTATGTGTCTCATACGCAGTTTTCCAGACTGACATCTACTAACGTAAATACTACCATGTAGACCAAATCTTCACATCACGAAGATGAAAAAGGCGGTAAGAGCACATATATTGAAACTGTTCATCTGAAAAACGTACCACAAAAAACTAGAGCGAGAAGAAGACTAAACAGTTCTGAGATTTTCAGTCACAGGATTACTACTGTAATATATATATATATATATATATATATATATATATATATATATATATATATATATATATATATATATATATATCAACCGTCACAAAGCATTGAGAAATAAGACAGTCCAAAAATATTTGAAAAAAATTCAACATTAGATGAGATCGCGAATACAGATGAAGATAAGATTTGGTCCAAAAATAGCTCAAAGAACAGTGTTCAGATAGCAAAAGTATTGGATTTAGTACATAATACAAAGAATGTGTTAATAATCAATTGTTTGAAAACCAAATTTAAAAAACTCAAAAAAATCTGCAGTGAACCGGTTTTTGGTATGAAAAGTTATCATTTGAACTATATAAATGCAATAATGGAGACCATATAAACTGAGGTAGGTGTTAGTTTAATTGATGAGGTAGACATAAAAATACTCTGCTTGAAGATTGGAAGGTTCATGGTTATTTGTGCGTCTAAATACAAAAAAGTTGCACGAAAGTTTTATCCAAAGGAATATCTGTTAATCGAATGTCTAGGGAAAAGAAAAGCCCAAAATATATCAATTGATCCATATACAGTACAGAAAACTACGTAATTTATCATTGAATTGATGGAAAACTATGATGACACAAAACATATAAGTTTACAAAATAAGGCTGCAGCCATAACCTTATATGAAGAGTACATCATAAATTAGGCGAATTAGAGACATAATTTGTCAAAATACTCATAAATACGTAGCAGTCAATAAATTATTAACAAGGTTAAGTGACAAGTTACAGTTATGCACTTCATTTGTTGTTAAACGTTAGGTAAGTAGATTATGTAGTTGTTTGATATAAATTTAGGTGACTTGAAATACTAGAAAATTCCATTGAGATGAAGTGATTTATTCTGACGTTGCTTAAGATGCATTTACTGAAATTGAGAAACCTCTAAAATCATGTAATTATTAGTTGTAAGTTCTGTGAAAATGGGGCCTTTATCGTAAATCATATATAAAAATTGCGTATAAATTTGATTAACTGTAATTGTATTGAATAAAACCACGTACCACAACAGTTTTATTTAATGTTGTTCAAAAGTAACATCAAGGAATATAAGAAAATCATTGTGACTCACATTTATGTCATCAACTGATTTGGCGATTCTTAGTTTCCAATGAAACAGGACCGTCCACCTAAGATTCACAGTATGGTAAACTTCGATGAGAATCCTTTGATTACAGGTAATATAAACTCATTAAGAAAAGTTATTGTAAATAGTATTATGGAACTGTCATATAATATGGAAATGGAGCAATTAGTAAGGTGAAGTGAATTCATTTAATAAGGGTTTCAAGAATGTTATACGACAAAATAAACTTCTAGTAGCTACAGAGTATCGTGATAGAATATGAGAATCATACATGAAATATAAATAAATAATGTATTTGTAACGGAACAATGAGAATAATATTATTTTAATTTGGTTATTTATTCTCTGAAGAAGTGACTTACACTAAGTCACGAAACGTCAGAAAATCTAATTTTCTACTCATTGCGATATTACAAATATATTATTTATTTATAACAATCTACCCAGTGCTCAATTTATTCGAAATTATCAAATCAAACCTTGGGAATGATACATACATACATGAAATACTTCACTTGCAGATTTCCATCATTTGTCTTTCACATTTTGGATGATTCTTCCGATTAGCAATTCCTTTCTAATTCCGTTTCTGTTTCCTTTAAGTCAACCATCATAGCCTTCTGCTGCAAGGTTTTCCTCTTCCGATTGGCGTTACATGCTACTTATGTCAATAGACGTAAGTAGCATAATCACAGTACCACTACACCTTCACATAATGCATCTGGCTAAAACCAGGTGTATAAATTTACATTACGACTGAGTAAAAATCGTACATTTTGAAGTAGCCACTTAAAACCTTCATAAGGTTTGGTAGCTTTTCTATTCAGTAGCAACGTACTTTCCTGTCAATATACTTGAACAAACCTATTTAAGAAATGAATTTCCTAATTTTATTGTTAACAGTAAATAATTAATATAAGAAGACTAACTATAAATGTGGCACTCATGAATAATCATGGAACAAATATTTGTGCACTCCAAAAAGTGGCACGTTTGAGTAACCCAAAGAAAATTGGTTAAGATTCAAAAATGATAATATTCCTAAACTAAAAGTGATTTGGATAGAACACCGGTAAATAAAGATAAGTGATTTACACATAAAAGAACATTGGAAAAGTCAGTGGTGCATTTGAATCATATCACTGAAGTAGGCACTTACTTCATTCGACCTAGATGGAATAGGACTACAGGAATTAGGTATGATTGGAGAATCAACGAGTAACCTTTTGCGTGATTTAAAAGTACGCATTTCATCTGAACATGCAGACTGACTAGATTTATTCGGTACCCCATTAGTTGGTCCTGAATCATCTAGTATGTCTTGACTGGATGAGACTAAACAGAAAAAATAAAATGTATGGGTCATCGTTGATAGGTATTATAAATTAAAAAAATTTCTGAAGCATAAATTATAGTGTCCAGACGACGTGCAATAAGCCTTTTATAGAGGTGAAGGCTAAAATATGGTCAAAGAACATGCTAAATTGTTTGATAATACTTGACTAGTCAACTGTTTTTTCATCCAAGAATACAGAGATTATCGTATTCAAATTCAAAGAGTCTACGTAAAATATGTGATAATTATTGAGTCTGTTCTTAATTTCAACCGAAATGTGAGATGTTCATTAGTTAATCGAAATTATCCGTGAAATATGGGTTGTATGAAAACAATATTTATTATATTTAAGCTCTGTACTAACTTTATTAATCTCTTTTTGCATAGATATAAATTAATAAAATACTTACGTATTTGGGGCTACGTGGAGAGAGGTAGTTATCAGTATAGGGTTGTAAAAATTGTTAAATTTCATTGAAATCATAACCACTGACAGCGTGAAAGCACTAGACGGCTGTTTATTCCTAGTATGAGACTTCTCAGCATTATGCACCCACGAACTCATGATTATAGTGAAATTCAACAATCTCCACAGCCCCGTACTGACATTTACCATGCGCTTACTAGTAAACAGCTTGGAGAGGAAATTTCTGAAGTCTTAGTGAGAAGCTATGACCAGCGGAGTTCGACCGTGTCGAGTGTGAGGAAGGTACACACAAAGCACAGTGGAAAATGGTGACACAATATAATGGATTAATTGGAGTTAGACATGAAAATAGTTGAATATTTACTTTGTGGTTTAGAGATTAAGCGTCTGCACGTGAAACTGAAGGTCTTGGGTTTGATATCCAGTTGCGGGGTCGTGGATGTGCACTGGAGAGAAGTCCCATGCTAGGACGAAACGACTGTCCAGTGCTCCCAAGTTTAAAGTGGTTGTCTAACTTAGACCGGTTGATGATTTCAAATGTTATTTTCTAGGAACGGAAATTTATTTTTTCCGATGTAGTAAAATGTGCTTGTAAAATGACTGTGTACCACTAAGCGGTCGCTTAATGGTTGGGGCGTTCGACTCTCAGCTACTAATCCCCGATTTTGAGCTCCACTCCACTTAATTTAGTTTAGGATATAAGGCAGTATCATTACCCACAGCTCTTGGAATACACTTCATTCTTTAAGATCTTGTATTTTATTGAAACTATTGATTTCTTTACGGTTTTATCAATAAACAACACAGATAACGTCGACGTAGAAACATACTTGAATGAGAATTTCTAAGATGTTTTTTCAAAGAATGCTTTTGAGTGTAACTCTTCTCACAGATATTACAAGAATATGCACGGACACCTGAGTAATGATTAAAAAAATATGTGAAGAATGGGGAAGATAATACCTATTTTTAAAACAATATAAACACAAAACTAAATGATTACGAAATGAATGAAAATGCTCTGAAAGATTATGAAACATTTCAGGGAAAAAACCCTGAAAACTAGCGATATTGGTTACGGTTTCAAGTTATGACAATTAAAATCAAGTGTCAAGGTAACAAGTTTAGTTTATAGATTCATTACATTGAAGGAAGTATGTTCGATATACCAATATTATCACTTGATTTCCTCTAATTGTTACTGCAGACTCACTACCGCGGTTCACTTTGATATTGAATCAACACTAAGTTGAAACAACGAGATTGAAAGATATGATGGATAATAAGATCTCTATTTAGCATTGAGGTAGATTGTAGTGGTGAAAAAACTTTGGACGTTATAAAATGTTGGTGTTCGTATTTACACTTCACATCACAAGAGGGTAGTTTATGGAATAAAATGAAGTTTTGTGATGTTTCTACTATGGAATGAAGCATTGTTTATGAAATGTTTAATACATATGATGGAAATGAATTTTACACTTAGTATAAAAGTTACATAAAACGAACTGTTTCACATTGACTTCATAAGTGAGTGTTTTACCATAATTGTATTTTTTTCGAACTTCAATATTAATATAGTTATCTATCACAGTTGCGCAGTAGAAAACTGTCAATCCGTATAGTTACGCATCTTTTAGCAAGTATGTGAATATGTCAGTAGCCCTGTGATTCGTATATTATGAGAGATCTCAGTTAAGATTTTTTGTGTATGATTTGATTAAACAAGATATTAATTTGCAAATTTAAGTACCAATCACGTGTCTAAACCACAAAACATAGGTAGTTACATGAAAAAAAGTACCTACGCACTCAAAGACATGCTTGCAAATAAACAGGAATGACATGAACAAGCAAGAAAAACGCAACAGTGGAAAATTTCCCCACGACGCATTCCTTCTTTCTTTTATTTTTATTTATTATTTGAACACATAAATATTGGTACAAGAGTGCGCCAAATATATATGAGTGATTTTTATGTAAAAGCCAGGAGGATCTTATAAACAAAAGGGGAACCTTTCTACGGTTACTACTACTGCAACTACTATTAACAATACTAGAGTGTGAAATATACAAAACGTGCACAGCTCTAATCTGCATTAAGGGATAACATACACTTTCACAAATGAAGTTATGCATAAACATGCGGTAATAACAACCAATCTTACAGTGACCTTGGATTTTACGATATAAAATAATACGATAATACTTAATGTAACACGTATTTATGAATATTGATCAACAGTTGTAATTAAAACTGATTATTTTTATTTTTAATCTATTTGCAAGATTTTGCACGCACTTTACTTAGAACATACGATACTAATTACCTAGATTGAGGTGTGAGAGAACAATTAGTATAGATGAAATAAATTGAATTTCATTTTTATATATTTTGGTGTACAAATCAATGAAAACTGTCAATTATCTGAATTATGTCGAGTAGACAACTCCCCCTTTACATGCAAGTTGGTGTTTCAGAAATGGCCTGCGTCAACACCTGAACTAAGGATAGGGAGTGAAGTAGTCGAACGCGTCGATAACTTCACTCATCTTGGAAGTCTGATCAGCACTAATGGGTTGGTATATGACGAAAGCTCTGCACGGTTTCAGAAAGTTCGTTTGGCTTTTACCTACTTACGTCACATATGGCAAAGGCCGAATATCCGTCTATCAATCAAGGGACAAGTATACCGTAAGTGATGTTTGACGCAGTGTATTAGGAAATGATGGTACACAAGTGGATGAGGTTGTAAATCTTCATCGACTGAGATGGTTAGGCCACGTGTGACGTATACCTGAATACCGATTACCACGACGCGCAATGCTGAGTAGTGTTAGAGACGGTTGGAAGAAATCGAAGGGTGACCAAACAAAAAAGTGAAATCAGTCCATGAGGTCACTCACTTCTGGTCTTAACCATGTTGGCAGATGCAGATTATTTGGTTAGGGTCAGCGTGACTATCTTAACCAATGGTTGGAGACTCTGGGTGACATGGCTCAGAATCGATCACAATGGTGTGGATGTATACACTCTTTGTCTTCCTATAAACAATGAGATTAAAATTACTTTATATCCTTCTTTCTACCAACTAATTCTTTTTTCCTGTACTATATCCTTATATGCAATCTTTCTTTTACATATTACTAACATTGAAGCGATTACTTCTATGAATTCGGTGTTCATCTTGTTGTGCTTATGAGGTATGGTAACTTGGACTGATATCTATAAGTGTCTAGTCCTTTGTTGTGGATGAGTGACTGACATAGGCAAAGAGTATAAACAGACAAGCGTATGCAATTATCACAAAACTATTACGTTGAACAAGAAATATTAGATAAACGATATTTACTACAAACAACAATTTTTAAACTACTTACTGAAAAACATTTAGCGATGACACAATAATAAACAGAGGAGTGGAGAGAGCAAAAAATTTTGTCTCACATCTCGCTTCAAGACACTTTTATTAAGTAGAAAGTTTGAGTTTTAGTTCAAAAGGTTAACTGTAGTGTTCCTACGATTATTAATTACAATTTTATGTAAACGTCGCTTTGATTATCATTGTACATCCTAATTGTAAGTTGGACACGTACAAAAGCTTTGGTTTTATGCTTCAAACGTACTTGATCTGCATCTTATTGTAGATTATCGGAACAAGTTATTATGCTCTTATATTTACTTTTGGATAACCAAACAATTAGCAATATTTTAAATGATAACTAACCTTCATGAACAGTAGAAATATGCATTCGAAGGTAGGATAATGTGGAAAACTTTTTCATGCAATAATCACATTGAGGTATTCGATTACCTAGTGGATAATAAATGTTCACATAAATCTATTAAGTTAGAAGTAAATCTCTGAGAATATTAATTAAATATAGACTATAAAGATAGATATTGATAACAAAATCAGATTCGTGATCTAAAAATATCCCAGAAAAGAAACATGTACAATGCTTTCACTGTGAGTTATTCGACAAAAGTTCTAGTTTAGTGTTCATTTTAAGTCTCACTACTCTGAATGATGAAAAATGTAAAGTACTTTAAATAGTTGCCTTTTATAAAACCCCCTCAAGGAATTATTAATGATTTTGTGGGAAACAATTGTGTTTGTTCTTAATAAATCCCCAATTATTATTTTAACATTTTCAGTTTTTCAAACAGTTGATGGTCTTCGATGATATTTTGTCACTTTTAATTAAAACAGACTATATAAGAAACTAAATGGATGAGTACCAAAATAAGTTAACCTCTACAGAAAGAAAATCATTCGTCGGTAAACGATCTATATGATTTCAGTATTTGTGACGTATTTGCATTACAAATAGCAGGATAGAATCCGATCAGTTACATGTTCAGCGTAAGGTTAAATTTGGGTGCAGTGATTAGTTTGTTTTTAACATTTTGATGCTAACAAACGAATCAAGAAGATATGGCAAAAGTATATTCTAGGGACAAACCAATCAGAATCGAGAATGCGTTCTACGTTTTTGTGTGAAATCCAAACGTCATTTATTAAGAGTAGCAAAAATACGTTTGTATACTGATCTAAACGTTCAAAATGACATTGGAAAATTATTTTCTTCAACTATGTGGTAAAAATGATAGTATTAAACTCATCAAATATCTAATTCTGTCCCTCTAGTTTGTATATAACAAGTCGACACTATCCCTGAATCTTACCCCTAAAAGCTTAATCATGAAAACGAACTTTAACTTGGTGACATCGCATCTTGTGGATGAACTGACTACATAGCGCCTCTTGTGCCTATGAACGAAATTCAGTGAGACTACAACATATATACGAACCAATGAGATTTAAAATAGCAGGTCTTGGATTTTTACGCGGAATTCTTTCATTCATATGGCTAAATAGTATTTCAGCATTACAGATGAGGTCAGTTCGTGATGAAAACTCTCACGTCGAATTCTAAATCTTAATCCATCTTCTGATCTTAGTGAGTAGGAGAATTTTCCTAGGGTCACTTTAGCATCGCTCAAAGATCGTCCGTAAATTTTATTCTCGCTCGGAATTAGTTCATTATTAGTGTTGCAGAGCATTTTACATTGTAGCTGATGTCAGTTCAGGATGAAAACCTCAATCTTAAATACCTAACTCTAACTAGTAACAACATAAAGACGATTAAAAATTTGTTTGAGTCCTTATAGGGGTTTGAGATGGACAATCTTTATCCATAAAGACGAGTTTATACGTTGTTGTTTCTTCGATTTACAGATGAATCTGTCGAAGCATTAATAGATTTATAAGTAAATATTACACTTTGTAATATTACTGTTTTCTTTTCCATAAAATACCAATTTATAAAAGCTGTTTTCTGACTGACTAAGAACTGGCTAGAAATTCGTCACAATTATTTTTTAGGCTCATATACTTTTACCCAAGATAATTAGTTTTTGATGAAAATTTAGTGTTCTGGTCTTTTGAAATGAACTAAGTTTTCAACTTATTCTTTTTCTACTTTACATCATGTTGACACTTGGGATCTTATTATTAGCTACTTTTAAATATAATTACAAAAATATTAGTTTTTTGATAACCTTAATTTTTAGCATTGATTAATCATTTATTGTTTGGTAAGTCATACTATCTTGATTAAATATTTAGTATATATATATTTTCAATCCCTTAATATGTATACTATTGGTTAACCAGATTTTTTCCGGCAGCCAATCGGTAATAGTAATTATAAGTAGTTAACATCATTTACAAGATAAACTAAGTGCTTCTTAATTTGAATATGTAATACTTTACTAAGAGTTTATCGGTAGCCAAAGTGTTAAATTAACAATTCAAACCTGATAGACATAACCTTAACTGCAGTTCGAGGAAACTGAGTGAATTGTTGAAATGCATCTAATTATAATAGAATATTACTTTGAAGGTTTTCATTTTTTTGAACGGTTATCTAGTCTGTAATGAAAACTATAATCAAATATTTTGAACTTTCTTCAACTTATACACTAGTTATTTATGTTCAAAATAAACATTTAAGTCAATTAAGTGTATAAACTCTCACCATGATGTACAGAATCTATATGAACTCGCAAACTTGTGAGACCAGGAAACGGCTTTCTACAATTCGGACAAACAACTGGAGTTTCAGGCTCTGAATGTTAAAGTAAAGAGGATATTATTAGAATGATTATGAACAAACCAATACATAAATATGTATTCAGCCATTTAAAGACTTAACAGGTTTGCCAGTTCGTGCTCTAATAATTCTAAACAGAAAAGAATATTGTTTGGGAAAGAATGGTATATATATATATATATATATATATATATATATATATATATATATATATATATATATATATACATCTACCTATTGTTGTTTAGAAACCCATGCAGAATCAATAAGCCATACACAAAGTGTACTTCAATGCTAAGTGTATAACCTTGTACATCTGATGTTTGAGTAATATTAATAAATATTCAAAGAAGTAGGGTACAAATAAGTCCACGACAATAAAGAAAAAATTTTCCTGAAAAAATATATAAACAACGAAATTCTTTCACTGCTAAATGGGAGATTCGGTACTAATTAAATCGCAGTTGCGAAAGACTTTAAAAGACAATTTAGTATTAATAGTTTTACAGTGTTATGGTAAACAATCGCGAAATACAAACTGATTATTATACTTCACAGTGACTTTTCCAAGAATTCACAACATATTCGTAAACACCAATCAATCTTAAGAACTGAATCAATAAAGTTAGTTGAGCATAAAAAAAGAACTCAAGAAATGAAGTGAAGAGTTCAACAAAGTTTACAGCAAAATTAACCCACTAGAATTGACTGTTAACTCCACAGGATTCTAAATGTTGCGGATAATAACAGCGTAAGAGTAGGAGTGAAGCCTTGTTAGATTACTTTTATAAATTCATAACCAATAAACAAAACTTAAGAATGAGGATTATCTGTAACAATAAATTATTTTCATTTTAATATCTTCTAAGTATTTTAGAATGATAAAGAAAAGCAGGACAAACAACTTATGACTGTTTGCCAAGGGAGTAAAAACATTACTTACTGGATATAAATTCCTCACTACTAGATGACAGTGAGATCCGCGATCCTAAGGTGACCTAAAAATAAATAAAGAACGCGAAGAATAAGATTGTAGCATACTGAATAAAATGATGTTACCATTTAGTATAATTTGGTATAGCAAGACAATATCATGTAAGAATATTATTTGTCCCGTAAAATTCCTGAAACAGGGATTTTATATGACGTTTTCAGCATTCCAATAAGGTTATCTAATGAAAACAAACTACACTTTTTTAGTTTATCTCTGACTCCACCACGGTGAGCAGTTTTATGGTAGACCTCATACTTAATGACACCATGAAATATGGTTGCGTAAGATGGGTAAAATAAGAGAAGTTTAGTCAGATTGTCTACCAATATGATTAATCGAATTTAGCAACCTTGGAAGCCATTTGGCGAGTTATTGATCTCATTTGATGTTATCAATCTGCGAAATCGGTCGCCATCAGCACTATATTGGTGAATAGTTTGATAATGACCATGGATCGAATTTTGATGTCACAGCAGAATTTCGATAGATAAACTACGTCAAGCATATTACTTTGAGCTAATCTAGAAATTACGGCAATTTCGGAGTTTATGTAATCTTGATCTTAAGTCTCTTGGATCCATCGCATTGCTTAAATAATCTACTAAAGTGTTGAGGAAGGCTTTACTATTTATCTACTGGAGGTAGGATGCACATTATTTGACTAAACAATGCCTCTACGAAAACTACTGTCCCAGTAAGTGCAGAGAAATAGGACACAAAGCCTGATTTTATTGGTAGAATCCATAGTGCCACGAACAGTCCAGAAAAATCAACCATTCTTATGATAAGCCGATAGTCAAATTAATAGGAATATTGACGATTACTGCTGTAGAAACCAAAAAATACACTGTCGAAGTTAGTGGTTAAACTTTCGATCTACAACTAGACGAAGTACAGGTAGACGAGGTTTAAAAACATTAGGCTGTATAAAACATCAAATGCAGCAGTTGGTGAGAGCGATGAACAGCATTTGTTGGGTAAATTTCAATGTCTGATTAACTTTTTGACAAAATATCCATAGATCGTTCAATATAGTACATGTTGAGCTCGACCTTCAAGGTTTTAGCTTCTGTTAGTGTCTGCAGTTGAGTTATATACTAATTCACTCAGTATTAAACGCAAACAAACGACGCGTTAGATCTAATTTTTGTCTTTACAGCCTCAGCACAAAAATATGAAACCAATGACACCGAATTACATCTAGATCTCAAACTTAAGAAATCAACCCGTCACAATATATTAATCCCACCTGAATAAAGTTAACCAAAGTTTCTCTCACTTTGCTAAGAGTTGGGGGTTTGACTTCTATGTCCTGTTAAAGTTGAGAGTGGGTAGTGGGGAGTTGAATGTTTATTAAACTATTTAACAGTGAATTCTCATTGATCCAGCCGTCCAGTCTAAGAGATGACTACTGTCCATTTACGGCCACACGTATACAGCCTCTGCTAGGGAAGTCCTACACATTGCTTTCTCGTGGCGGGAGTGTTGTTTACGAAAATGAGAGGACGAAAAGCGTATGAACCAATCGTTGGTCACCGGCTATGATGGGAAGCATCTCCTCACGATGCTCCACTGCCTTGTGGGTCAGACCCTTAGGTCAAAGCCTCTGGGCATGGCCCCCTAAGAAAACCACCTGTTTCGGTCTGGGCACTCGGGCAGTATCACAGCCCACACACAAAATTGTGGCGCATATATATTTGGTGCCCTCTTGTACCAATATTTATGTGCTCAAATAAATAAATAAAATACGCATGAGTCCGGTTATTTCATCACGAATAACATATCCCAGTATATGACATATTTATCACAAAACTAATAAAATTAGACTTGATTAGAATTCTTGCTTCACACAAGTTATTAAGGGACTTTTACTCGGATAATCACTATATTGGTCCAGTGAAATTTAAAAAGAGATTACATTAAAGACATAACAAATAGTAAAAACTACTGTTCTTTTTTAAAAGTAGACGAAAGTAGTATATTTTTTCACAATCTATTCAAAAACATCTCAATAGTCTGAACTTACTGAATGAGAGTCGTCGTTTTCACCATCTGTTAACTGAAAATCAAAAGAGTCTGCAACTTCTAAAAGAATCAAAGGGGAAAACAATTAGTATTTCTATAAAGTTGGTTATTTGATTTATACCGACCAAGGAACGTTACATTTTATTCGTTCTACCTGGTATAAATTTATATTCTACATTGATGGGAAAATTAGACTATTCAGATTATTCAATAAACAAAAGTAGTAGCTGCATAGTGGTGAAGGCACTAAGCTTTCAACGAATAGATCTTAAGTTCGAAACTCATTCTAAATACTTTTTTTGAGCACCCGAGTGATACCAATGGCGTCCACAAAGTGAGGTGTAAAGTCTTGTATATAAGACATTTACCTCGTAAATGGGTTAGATTAGCATTAGATTCAGACTGTAATTTAGCATAAATTATTTGTAATGATCATCAAAGGTAAGCAGAAATACTGGCACAGAGGCTTACACAAAAATATAATACGATTTAAATTGACGTACCTTGTCTAAAAAATAATGAAATAGGGAAGAAGGATATAAAGTAATCTTGGGAAATAAATGGCGAGTAATAACAGCTTTAAATATCATAAGATAGGAAGTGAATGAAACTGTGATTTTGTGTTCGTTCTTTAACTACTCCTTTCAAAGTATCTAGCTGCTATCACTCAGTAGACCTAAACAAATACGCTTAGACGACCGTTTACACCACTAACAGAAGCCTTCGTTGAATGGTATAATATTATAGTCTAATCGAAATTATAAATATGAAGGTCTCAAATGTTTTGTTACAGTTGATGATGAGTAGTTTGACCTTCCTCAATGTAGTCAACTATTAGACAGTGAGATTTTAGGAGATAAAATGATGTTCAATAGCGGCGAATAAACGTGGTTAGCCATAACTAAAGTAGAGGTTTGACAAGATGTACGCTGGCCAAAGTTGCTAAACCATATAACTATGACGAGATGAAAATAACAAGATCGATAGTAAAGGAGATAGAATATAATAGCAAAGATCGACAATCGATGATATAGTTTGAAAAGATAATGGAAAGGTGTATCTGAAAGAGTAATGGGATTCAAGAACGAAGAGAAGATAGGGAGTGAATGCACTTACGCCACTGTAAAAGAACCTGAGCCGTGACACCCAACATATTCAGCCATTAATTGCAGTTGTCATGCTCGCAAGGCTTAGATCAATATTTAATGACATCATTAACTGTTGCCATAACTAGTTTAGCCGCCCTATCCTTTTTCTGAGTAAACGGACATTCATAATACAAACTAGACCTGGGATCTCATTCTCTGCTCTAAACTTACGATGAAGCAGCTATGAAAGTGGATATGTTGTTGAGATAAATTACTAAATTCTAAGCCAATCTAGAGTAATTACAGAAACTGGCTCTCAAATAACTGCTAAAATGGCTCCAACATCTGGGTAGAAAGAATGATGTACAAATTTGTATTAGTCAGTGAAACACTTTCCGTTTGGTGAAACCACCGAGCAAGTAAACGTGAGATCAGGCGTACGGGACTAAGTAAAACTAACGACACTCTATGTCACAGCAGAAAATAGTCTGTATTGTCCAACCTGAGAACATCGACTTCATACTAGCTGGCTGAAAAGCTCAATTCTTGACCTAAACACTCAACTAGAGCATCCGTGTTAGTAGTTCGTGTTGTGATATCTACCAAATGAGCCTTGTTGAGAATTAATTGATAATTAGACTGATTCTGAACAGCGTATACGCTACGACCCGTTGGGGAAAAGAAAGTAATGACGAATACATTGTATCTGTCGTCAGCCCGTGATTATAGATATTGGGTCTTCTGGCACGTCGGATAAAGTAGTTTCAGACCTAGTTATCTGATCGGAAAAGCAATAGAGCAACGTCGAAAGATGTATCATCAGAATAATCTGTGGCCACAATATGTACGTACGTCACAAATTATAACAAGAACCTGAGGCTAATGTGAGCTACCAATTTGAAAACCAGGTTTCTCGACCCGCATAAGTGGACTCAAAATCCGTAACTACCCCTTAAATAACATAAACGCCTGTTAGTTGTTTCAATGTTGTGGAAACATTCCACAATCTTCCTCCATCTTGTCTCGCCAGTGGGCTACGTTACATGAATGGCGAATATTGCTGCTGTCTGTAGCATTCCAAAAGTTAGTGAAATTTAATACAAATGTAAGATTTTATCGTGTCTTACGTCACTACCAATTACAACCGAGTCAGCTTTAAAATTAGCAACGGTGGTAGAATATACTTGCAATAACGCAGCCCATAACTTTGAATTCGAGTGAATTATGTGTAGACAGACTACTTCGATGTACCAGCTAGTTTGCGACAGATTTAAAATTAATGCTGAAGATCCTTAATTTTTCTCTTAACAAATCTAGGATTATTATTTCCGTCAACATGTTTATCTAAAACAACTACGTATATGTAATCAAAGCTAGATAAACGGTTTATATAGACCTATGAAAATGTTGACAGAAACGCTGGACTTAGTGGAGACAAAAATCGTAGATCCTTAAATAGGAATAAGAATGCAATTTCTGGATTTCAAAAGCAGTTTTAAGGTAAACTTAAGAATACCTAGTCAAACTTGATACTAAAAAATGGCTGAACTAGAACATATGGGTACACGTTGAACACGTCAAGTGCTGAGAATTCTATATTGTACCAAAACATAATATTGAATAAAGCCATTAATAATAATAATAAAATACATATTCATATTATATATACTACAGTTCGCTTTATATTTCAAGTACAAAACTTATCAGTTTAAATACAGTGAAAATGAAAAATGACTTTTTATGAGTCGGAAGCTAATGGGCAAAATATGTATTGGTCAAATATAAAGAGGATAAGAACGAGGAATAGAACGAACTATCCCTGTAATCAAGCCGAAATGTTAGGATAAAAAAATCTATCAGCTGCCACTTGGGTATATAAATTAATATAGTTGGAGCAGAGTCTGAACACGAGTACTTATTAGTTGAATACTTAGAACAAAAGATCTTGATTGCAATTTGATTAGCGATACATGAAAGCCAAACATAGTTTTGGCAAACCCCATGACAGAGGATATTTGCTGTAGCATTATTTTAAACTGTTGATAGCAAACCAAATTTGAAATCTACTAAATAAGCTTACCTTCGTGTACAACATTAATGTGCATATGAAGGGACTTGATACTTGGAAACGTTTGACCACACAGACAGCATAAACTCAGCTGATCATCTATTAGGAGGAAACAAGGTCATAAGGTAAAAAAGACTAAATAACTTCGCACCAGTAAAACTTTCCCATGTTCTCATACATTACAGAGGGTTAAAGTTAAGTTTACAGATCTGTACTGTCAAACGAACAGTCAAATAAACACAACGTGACAAATCCTCCAACTTAAGAGGTACATTTGGGGTCGCCAATAATATATATGTTTTAAGAAACGAAATTATAAAGCTGCTCTTGGCAGTCCCACTCTAAATCTTGTTATACTGACATTCGATAGGTTTGATTTACGTGAACGACCCTTTGACAAAAAGCTTGAGCCGAATAGAACAAGACAGACAACGGGTGAGACAGTAAACATGCACACATTTATTTACTGCTTACCGTCGTTTGAAAGTCACTGTCCATAGTGACCTCAAACCCCAAATACGAAGCAAAAAAGGTCACTAGTTTCTAGGTTTTTGTGGTTGCTTTGTATGATTTATTTATTTATTTATTTGGACACATAAATATTGGTACAAGAGAGCGCCAAAATATATGCGCCACACAAAACAATGACAATTCGAGAGGAATACAAGGAAAAAAAAAGCTAAGGAGCGCAACAAAAAAAAAGAGAGAACAATAACGAAGAGATTGGTGTAAGGTAATGTGCTAGTAATCAGGGAACGCAAAGGTACAATCGGAAGAAATCTTTCAGGTAAGGGAGACAGAACCACTTTTTATGAAGAAAGTAAAAGAAGGTTACAGCAGGATCCCCACTGGCTTCTATTCTGAGCCATATCTGATAACGTCTCTAGCCACTGTGTAGCACCATCTCTCAGACCCCAACCAGGGAGTCGTGAAGGACCAACACAAGCCAGTCCTTTGCAGCTTTCTTTCATGCCACGACACCATGTCATGCACTGACCACCTCTCCGCTTCTTCCAACCAGTCCCAGAGTCGGCAAGTAATGCACGACGTGGAATTCTCTGGGACGGCATTCGTAGAACATGTCCAAGCCACTGAAGTCGGTGTTTCAAGATGGTCACACCAATTGAATTATCATCTCTGTGCCCGAACACACGATGCCGAACCTCTGCATTACTGACATGGTGTTGCCACTGAATGTCAGCAATCCTTCGGAGACAGCGATGATCGAACACAGAGAGTCGTCTAACGTCCTCAACTCGGAGAGGCCAGGTTTCACAAGCATAGAGCAAAACTGCTCTCACCGACGCGTTGTAGATTCGACCTTTTACGGCCAGACTAACATCACGAAGGCGCCATAGATGGCCCAGATTGGCATAAGCCGCTCTGGCCCCCGAATGCCCTGGTACGGCCGAGAGTGGGGTGAGTCCGCTCTCCCTCTCGAAATACTCTCACACGGCCGCGCGTATGCAGCCTCTGCCAGGGAAGTCCTACTCATTGCCTTCTCGTGGCGGGGGTGTTGTTTACGAAAATGAGAGGACGAAAAGCGAATGCCCGGCGCTTTAACCGGATTCTAAACCAATGGTGCACATGGGCTCCAGTATCCTGCGGGAACAAATGGCGTATGAACCAATATTTGGTCACCGGCTACCATGGGATTGCATCTCCTTACGATGCTCCACTGCCTTGTGGGTTAGACCTTTAGGTCAAAGGCTCGGGGAGTGGCCCCCTAAGAAAACCACCTGCTTCGGTTTGGGCACCCGGGCAGTATCACAGCCCACACACAAACGATGAACTCTATGTCTTTGCTTTGTATGAACGTCAAGAGCAAAGATGAGAATGATCCAGAACACATAACTAAAACGCAAACGACTTTAGTTGAAATAAGGAAACAAAGACGCAAACCCATAGGTTGCATACGAAACATGTATTGCAACGTGTTTAAAAGATTATAACAAATACTCAATCATACATTTGATCTTTTTTATAGGCAGTATAAGAAAACTTCGATCTCTGTTAAAAGTTTTGAAGCAAACCGATGTAATTTTATGATATAAATCTACTGTTATTAGTGTCATTTCTTTTTTTCATCTTTTAGAGATGGTAATCTAAAATATGGTTGAAAAGCTCGAGAAGTCAACACTCAGTGAGTTTACAGGCTCATTTTCTACGCGTGACAATGGATAATGGAAACTACTGACACAAATATATGGCATCAGCCTGTTTTAAAATCCGTCCCAAGGGGACGCTGTAATGATGAGTGTCAACGACCATCATAGACTAACCAATTTCTATTACTTACAAAAGTCAGGAGTAAATCACTAAAACTATTTTGCCGACAGAAAATGAAAATACATGATGAAAAATGAAACGCTTAACACTCTGATAACATAGTAGCTTCGCTAAAGTGGCCTAGTTATCAAAACAGGTGTCAGAACCCTCAGGAGACGCCACCAGAGAGAGTATAAAATATAAGATTCAACTTTGCTGCGCAAGCATAAAACCGAATAATTGAACCCGGTTGGTGAAACCAAATATGCAAAATTTTGTGAGACGCACCTTCAGAGGTTGAAGTGGCACTTACAATACCGCAGTTATTAGCTTCGTTACGGTAACTCTAAAATAGATTGTAAGTGCTTAAAGACTCGGTCGAGAAAAACCAGAGTAGTAGATCTGAAATGTTTTCTTACGGTATTATCCATCAACGCGTTCATAACTCCAGGATGTCACTTGTAACGCGCAAAGCACATTTTACTTTGAAGCACGCACATAACTCAAGGTGATACTTTGTTGAAACCTTAACTTTTGTTCAGTGAGTAGCAGAAAAATTAAATCCGTTCTTTTTAGCACAGTTTCTGGGTTGGTGACGAAGATGATTGTCTGTGAACAACTTTAAAAAATGAAACGAATATTTTGCGTCTATTTCGCGCTCTATTTAAAAGGACAGTGGTATTCTTTCTCGTTGAGTTAATTAACTGTTTTGATCGTAAATTAAGCATCAAAACTACTGTTTACACTTTAATTGCATCTACCCCAGTTAAAGTGATATTTTACTGAGTTTTTCGATTTTGATTCTGTGTATTTATTGTATCGAAGCATACTTGGTCGACTTTTACTTGGTTTATTTAGTTAAGGTTTGAAAATCCTTCTACATATCCTGTTTTCGTCACCGTTCTAGTTGATTTTCAAGATTGCTAGGTCTACTCATAAATGTGGACAACCATACTGCTTATTTCCCGTGGATGAAGGAATGCAATTTGATGAGTGTAATAAGTGGTTCCATAAGATGTGCACCCGATTAAGCCCCACTGCATATAAAAGGTGTTCAAAGCCCAACTCTCATTGGCTTTGTAGTTTTTGTTGCTCGAGCAAAACATTGCTTATCCAGGAAGCAATTAGTCTCCTGGTGTTGGCTAATAAGAAGGTTGATGAGGGCTGTACTGATAACATTGGTACGGATGGCGAAGATTGCGTTAGTGTCGTAAGTGCTATCACGGCGCAAGCCAGACATCTACCTGTGCAACCAGCAGTTAAACGTTCTCCCCCGAAACGATCAGTGAGTGACACGTCATTAGACGTTGGTGGCCATATTGCTTCAGCAGCAACCGGTGACCCAGATAAAACAATTACTGTCCCGAGTTGTTCTAATGTAGACGTTTCCACTGATGGAAAATGGATGACGCGAAAACGCAGAAGAGTAGGAAAGATAGCTAAAACTAATGACTGTTTACTTGGTAAGTCTTTGGTGGACTCTCAGACCAAAGTCTCATAGTAAAGCTTCGTCTGACATTGTTGTGAGTCATTCGCCTGACTCCCAGGACTCTGTTAAAATAAAAACTAATCGTAAGCTACCAGTAGTTAAAATACAGGATCTAACGTCACGGTCGAAAGCTGTGAACACAGTTTCAAAAGAAGCTAAACCCATCCCTAGTTTAATTATTTGGAATCTAGAGGAGTCGAAAGACAACGACCCTGCTAAAAGACACACACATGACCTGCAGTTAGTGGAGTCTGTGGTAAGGAATGTACTACCTGAAGAGGTTTCAGAGGTACATATTACAAAAGTAATACGACTTGGTAAATGGGTTGGAGGCGAGACCCAACCAAGAAGGATCCTGAAGCTGGTTCTCGGGAGTTTCGAAGAAAGAGACATATTATTGAAAAGCGCACTAAAAACTCATGCCTCAAATATCCGTATTCGACCAGATTGGCCGCTTGAGGATCGAATCAAGTGGAAGAATGCTCTTACGGAGTTGAGGACTCAGAAATTAAATGACGAAAATAACCTTACCATTAAGGGTTTTCGGGTAGTCAGGTCTTGGAAGCCAATGCTTCCGAGGCCTGTATGGGTAGAACGATTGATTTCCAAAACACCTTAAGTGTGTGCTACACGAACGCTCGTAGTCGTAGAAATAAAACGTCCGAGATAAGTCTGATGGTGCAAGAATTATGTCCCGATATAATCGTTGTTACAGAAACTTGGTTCACCGTTGATATAGACTGTTCTCTTTTCATTGCTGGTTATATCTGTATCAGAAGTGATAGAGTTTCAAGTCGCAAGGAGGGAGGTATAATATTTTACGTTAGGGATCACTTTCGAATACAATCAACCATATCGGAGGCTCATATCAGTGGCACATGTGAGGTTGCATGTTGTAAGATAAATCTAGAAATGGGTTAGTGACTATAGGGGGAATATACCGTAGTCCGTTTTATCTTGCTGACGACTTTATCCTAAGACACATCTGTTCTTGGAGTATGGCTGAATGTTGTCTCATCATTGGGGACTTCAATACACCGCATATCAACTGGATAGAGCTTCCAGCTCCAGGTAGTGGTTTCGATAGCGACCTTTTATCTACCGTTATTCAGTGTGCACTTGTATAATGCATCACAAAACCGACACATATTGATTTGCAACATGATCCGTCACTGCTGGACCTCGCCCTTACCCACCACTGTGAGGATGTCTTTGATATCCGGCACCTTCCTCCACTAGTGAACAGTGATCACGTTGTAATTCACTTTAAGTTTGGGACGCATGGTATACAATTCGTATCTGCTCCACCCCGTCCCAATATCTGGCGAGCTAATATTCCGGAAATCAGAAACCGTGCTATCTCGACCGATTGGTCGGTCGACGCGGATGGATTGATCGAAGATGAATGGTTTTTTTTTTTTTTTTTTTTTTTTTTTTTTTTTTTTTTTTTTTTTTTTTTTTTTTTTTTTTTTTTTTTTTTTTTTTTTTTTTTTTTTTTTTTTTTTTTTTTTTTTTTTTTTTTTTTTTTTTTTTTTTTTTTTGACTTATTCTTGTTGACAGGTCATGCACCATTTAAGCGTGAGTATCAAAAATACCGTAATATCTGTAAGAAAACCATAGCGAAATCCCGTACCACTTACGAACGAAAGTTAGTATATGATAGCCGTACTTGTCCGAAACGATTGTTTTCGTATGTTAAACGGCAAATGAAACGTAGTGATGGTATTCCCCCGTTACTGTTACACGAAAATTCAGATTTACTAGCTGAATCAGATCGAGCAAAAGCTGAGACTTTTTCAGATTATTTTAGCGAAGTCTTCTCTACGTTTATTGTAACAAATACTTGTCCCACTCACACCGAGATACCAACCATTGAATCTGTACAGGTGACTGAGGAAACTGTCCTTCCGTTGATAACTAACCTCAAACCTGGTAAGATACCGGGCCCTGACGGGTTACATCCACGGTTGCTGTCATCTCTTGCGGACATTATTTCAAAACCGCTTGCGACACTCTTCAACATGTCCCTCTCACTCGCTCAACTCCCTAGAGATAGGAAGGACGCTATAGTTAGTCCTATATTTAAGGACGGTCAGCGACAGATAGTATCTAACTACCGGCCTGTCAGTCTAACTAGCATAGTCGTTAAGTTACTTGAAAAGATTATTCGGGTTAGGTTGCTAAGCCACATAGATTTACACAATCTGTTAGCTTCTGAGCAACACGGATTTCGTAACAAGCGTTCATGCTTGACTAACTTGCTTATTGCGAGGGAGGATTGGACAGCAGCCCTAGATCACGGTCTGTCTGTCGACGTGATATTCATAGATTTTAGCAAAGCGTTTGACAAGGTTTCACACGTAGGTCTTATGCAGAAGCTCACGAGCTTCGGAATAATAGGTACTGTACATGAGTGGATAGGAAATTTCTTATGTGACCGCAGACAGAGAGTTAGGGTCAATGGAACGCTATCCGATTGGAAGCCGGTCAAAAGTGGTGTACCCCAAGGCACCATCTTAGGCCCTCTGCTCTTCCTTCTCTACGTGAATGAGTTACCACTGTTACTTAGGTCGTCGACATTATTGTTTGCGGATGATGTAAAAATCTGGAGAACAATAAAAAGTGCGGCTGATCATGTGGATCTTCAAGCTGATTTAGACGATTTAGTTAGATGGGCTCGAGAGTGGGGCTTAGAAATCAATGCTAGGAAGAGTGTACTAATGCACGTCGGTCACGGTAATAGTTACCGTTACTTTATTGAGGGTAAACCTCTTCCATGCGTTCAAGAGCATAAGGACTTAGGAGTAATATTAAGTCATGACTTAAAAACAACTGCGCATTGCAAAGCAGCCGCTGTCAAAGGTTTTCGTGCGTTATGGTCACTTCGCCGAGTGTTCAAATCTTTTGACGAGGAAACGTTTCGAATTTTATATCCCATATATGTTAGACCACATTTAGAGTACTATATCCAAGCAGCTAGCCCGTGTCTAGTAAAAAATACTAACTCCCTTGAGCGTGTTCAGCGTGTCGGAACGAAATTAGTGAAGGGTCTTTCTAGACTCCCTTACGATGAGCGCTTAAAACGCCTAAATATTTTCCCCTGATCGTATCGTAGGACACGAGGTGACCTTATACTGGCATTTCGTATCTATAATTATGATTTGGGTGTTAATATGTCTTATCTTTTTGCTCCCTCCAGCACTAATAATCTCCGAGGTCATAGCAAGAAGGTTCATAAACCACGATCTAATAAACTTAAAGTGGGATCCCGTTTTTCTCATCGAGTAGTCAATCATTGGAACGCCTTACCCGAACAAGTGGTATCAGCCCCATCAGTGAATACTTTCAAGGAAAAGCTGGACCTTCACTGGAAAGCAATGTGTCAGGATTAACACAGGTTCATCAACCTACTATCCTTATTACTGAAGACTGAAGACTTTGGAAATTGCATTTCAGTTGTGACTGTCGTATCGGAAATTGCGTATAACTCATACTTACTGCTCAGCGATATTTGAGGTATGTGTAATATTCCTTCTTGCACATCTTCCACCTCAGTTAGCATCAGTTAAAAATGTTTTGCGGGCAAACATAAAGATGCTGCAAACATTCGGGATTTCCCTTTCTTCGAATTTTGGCTTTTCTCCAAAGTCATGTGAAAATTCATAGATTTCAATAAAGTCTCTTGAACACTGGTGAAAATCCAAAATATCACTTAGGTTTTTGGGATCTATACAAAACAACTCGAAATCACGGGGGGAAATCGCTGACCAGGGGACATTTCGTGAATTTTGTCGCATTTCCCCCGAAAAATTCCCCGAAATCGGGAGATTAGGATCAAGAAGCTTGATCCATAATAACCTTATGACCGAAAAGTATCAAATAAGTCAAAAGTAGGAAATAACGAAGCTGAAAGTCATATTTGGAATGTTGTCACAGGTTGGAAATCGTCTGATC